GAGGGTGTGAGGGCATGAGGGCATGAGGGCATGAGGGCGTGAGGGGATGAGGGCATGAGGGCATGAGGGCATGAGGGCATGAGGGCGTGGGGGCATGAGGGCATGAGGGCGTGAGGGCATGAGGGCATGAGGGCATGAGGGCGTGAGGGCACGAGGGCATGAGGGCATAAGGGCATGAGGGCATGAGGGTATGCGGGCATGAGGGCATGAGGGCGTGAGGGCATGAGGGCATGAGGGAATGAGTGCATGAGGGCATGAGGGCATGAGTGCATGAGTGCATGGGTACATGAGGGCAGGAGTACATGAGGGCATGAGGGCATGAGGGCATGAGGGCATGAGGGCGTGAGGGCATGAGGGCGTGAGGGCATGAGGGCGTGAGGGCGTGAGGGCATGAGGGCATGAGGGCATGATGGTGTGAGGGAATGAGGGCATGATGGCGTGAGGGCATGAGAGCATGATGGCGTGAGGGCATGAGGGCATGAGGGCGTGAGGGCGTGAGGGCATGAGGGCGTGAGGGCGTGAGGGCGTGAGGGCATGAGGGCATGAGGGCATGATCGCGTGAGGGCATGAGGGCATGATGGCGTGAGGGCATGAGGGCATGAGTGCATGAGGGCATGAGGGCATGAGTGCATGAGTACATGAGGGCAGGAGAGCATGAGGGCATGAGGGCATGAGGGCATGAGGGCATGAGGGCGTGAGGGCGTGAGGGCGTGAGTGCATGAGGGCATGAAGGCATGAGGGCATGAGGGCATGAGGGGATGAGGTCATGAGGGCATGAGGGCATGATGGCGTGAGGGCATGAGGGCATGAGGGCATGAGGGCATCAGGGCGTGAGGGCATGAGGGCATGAGGGCATGAGGGCATGAGGGCATGAGGGCATAAGGGCATGAGGGCGTGAGGGCATGAGGGCATGAGGGAATGAGGGCATGAGCGCATGAGACCATGAGGGCATGAGGGCATGAGGGCGTGAGGGCATGAGGGCATGAGGGCATGAGGGCGTGAAGGCATGAGGGCATGAGGGCGTGAGGGCTTGAGGGCTTGCGGGCATGAGTGCATGAGGGCATGAGGGCATGATGGCGTGAGGGCATGAGTGCATGAGGGCATGAGCTCATGAGGGCATGGGGGCATGAGGGCATGAGGGCATGAGGGCATGAGAGCATGAGGGCATGAGGGCGTGAGGGCATGAGGGCATCAGGGCGTGAGGGCATGAGGGCATTAGGGCATGATGGCGTGATTGCATGAGGGCATGAGGGCATGATAGCGTGAGGGCATGAGTGCATGAGGGCATGAGGGCATGAGGGCATGAGGGCATGAGGGCATGAGGGCATGAGGGCATGAGTGCATGAGGGCATGAGGGGATGAGGGCATGAGGGCATCAGGGTATAAGGGCGTGAGGGCATGAGGGCATGAGGGCGTGAGGGCATGAGGGCATGAGGGAATGAGGGCGTGAGGGCATGAGGGCATGAGGGCATGAGGGCATGAGGGCATGAAAGGATGAGGGCATAAGGGCATGAGGGCATGAGGGCGTGAGGGCATGAGGGCATGAGGGCATCAGGGCGTGAGGGCATGAGGGCATGAGGGCGTGAGGGCATGAGGGCATGAGGGCATGAGGGCATAAGGGCATGAGGGCGTGAGGGCATGAGGGCATGAGGGCATGAGGGCATGAGGGCATGAGGGCATGAGGGCATGAGGTCATGAGGGCGTGAGGGCACGAGGGCATGAGGGTATGAGGGCGTGAGGGCATGAGGGAACGAGGGCATGAGGGCTTGAGGGCTTGAGGGCATGAGTGCATGAGGGCATGATGGCATGATGGCGTGAGGGCATGAGTGCATGAGGGCATGAGCTTATGAGGGCATGGGGGCATGAGGGCATGAGGGCATGAGGGCATGAGGACATGAGGGCATGAGGGCATAAGGGCATGAGGGCGTGAGGGCATGAGGGCATGAGGGAATGAGGGCATGAGCGCATGAGACCATGAGGGCATGAGGGCATGAGGGCGTGAGGGCATGAGGGCATGAGGGCATGAGGGCGTGAAGGCATGAGGGCATGAGGGCGTGAGGGCTTGAGGGCTTGCGGGCATGAGTGCATGAGGGCATGAGGGCATGATGGCGTGAGGGCATGAGTGCATGAGGGCATGAGCTCATGAGGGCATGGGGCATGAGGGCATGAGGGCATGAGGGCATGAGAGCATGAGGGCATGAGGGCGTGAGGGCATGAGGGCATCAGGGCGTGAGGGCATGAGGGCATTAGGGCATGATGGCGTGATTGCATGAGGGCATGAGGGCATGATAGCGTGAGGGCATGAGTGCATGAGGGCATGAGGGCATGAGGGCATGAGGGCATGAGGGCATGAGGGCATGAGGGCATGAGGGCATGAGTGCATGAGGGCATGAGGGGATGAGGGCATGAGGGCATCAGGGTATGAGGGCGTGAGGGCATGAGGGCATGAGGGCGTGAGGGCATGAGGGCATGAGGGAATGAGGGCGTGAGGGCATGAGGGCATGAGGGCATGAGGGCATGAGGGCATGAAAGGATGAGGGCATAAGGGCATGAGGGCATGAGGGCGTGAGGGCATGAGGGCATGAGGGCATCAGGGCGTGAGGGCATGAGGGCATGAGGGCGTGAGGGCATGAGGGCATGAGGGCATGAGGGCATAAGGGCATGAGGGCGTGAGGGCATGAGGGCATGAGGGCATGAGGGCATGAGGGCATGAGGGCATGAGGGCATGAGGTCATGAGGGCGTGAGGGCACGAGGGCATGAGGGTATGAGGGCGTGAGGGCATGAGGGAACGAGGGCATGAGGGCTTGAGGGCTTGAGGGCATGAGTGCATGAGGGCATGATGGCATGATGGCGTGAGGGCATGAGTGCATGAGGGCATGAGCTTATGAGGGCATGGGGCATGAGGGCATGAGGGCATGAGGGCATGAGGACATGAGGGCATGAAGGGCATGAGGGCGTGAGGGCATGAGGGCATGAGGGCGTGAGGGCATGAGGGCATGAGGGCATGAGGGCATGATGTCGTGATTGCATGAGGGCATGAGGGCATGATAGCGTGAGGGCATGCGTGCATGAGGGCATGAGGGCATGAGGGCATGAGGGCATGAGGGGATGAGGGCATGAGGGCATGAGGGCATGAGGGCGTGAGGGCATGAGGGTATGAGGGCATGAGGGCGTGAGGGCATGAGGGCGTGAGAGCATGAGGGCATGAGGGCGTGGGGGCATGAGGGCATGAGGGCGTGAGGCATGAGGGCATGAGGGCGTGAGGGCATGAGGGCATGAGGGCGTGAGGGCATGAGGGCATGAGTGCATGAGGGAATAAAGGCATGATGGCGTGAGGGAATGAGTGCATGAGGCATGAGGGCATGAGGGCATGAGGGCATGAGGGCATGAGGGCATGAGTGCATGAGGGCATGAGGGCATGAGGGCATAAGGGCATGCGGGCATGAGGGCATGAGGACGTGAGGGCATGAGGGCATGAGTGCATGAGGGCATGAGGGCATGATGGCGTGAGGGCATGAGGGCATGAGGGCATGAGTGCATGAGTGCATGAGGGCATGAGTGCATGAGTGCATAAGTACATGAGTACATGAGGGCAGGAGTACATGAGGGCATGAGGGCATGAGGGCATGAGGGCGTGAGGGCATGAGGGCGTGAGGGCATGAGGGCGTGAGGGCATGAGGGCATGAGGGCATGAGGGCGTGAGGGCATAAGGGCATGAGGGCATGAGGGCATGAGGGCATGAGGGGATGACGGCATGAGGGCATGAGGGCATGAGGGCATGAGGGCATGAGGGCGTGAGGGCATGAGGGCATGAGGCGTGAGGGCATGAGGGCATGAAGGCATGAGGGCATGAGGGCATGAGGGGATGAGGTCATGAGGGCATGAGGGCATGATGGCGTGAGGGCATGAGGGCATGAGGGCATGAGGGCATGAGGGCATGAGGGCATGAGGGCATGATGTCGTGATTGCATGAGGGCATGAGGGCATGATAGCGTGAGGGCATGCGTGCATGAGGGCATGAGGGCATGAGGGCATGAGGGCATGAGGGATGAGGGCATGAGGGCATGAGGGCATGAGGGCGTGAGGGCATGAGGGCATGGGGGCATGAGGGCGTGAGGGCATGAGGGCGTGAGAGCATGAGGGCATGAGGGCGTGGGGGCATGAGGGCATGAGGGCGTGAGGGCATGAGGGCATGAGGGCGTGAGGGCATGAGGGCATGAGGGCGTGAGGGCATGAGGGCATGAGTGCATGAGGGAATAAAGGCATGATGGCGTGAGGGAATGAGTACATGAGGGCATGAGGGCATGAGGGCATGAGGGCATGAGGGCATGAGGGCATGAGTGCATGAGGGCATGAGGGCATGAGGGCATGCGGGCATGAGGGCATGAGGAAGTGAGGGCATGAGGGCATGAGTGCATGAGGGCATGAGGGCATGATGGCGTGAGGGCATGAGGGCATGAGGGCATGAGGGCATGAGTGCATGAGGGCATGAGTGCATGAGTGCATAAGTACATGAGTACATGAGGGCAGGAGTACATGAGGGCATGAGGGCATGAGGGCATGAGGGCGTGAGGGCATGAGGGCGTGAGGGCATGAGGGCGTGAGGGCATGAGGGCATGAGGGCATGAGGGCGTGAGGGCATAAGGGCATGAGGGCATGAGGGCATGAGGGCATGAGGGGATGACGGCATGAGGGCATGAGGGCATGAGGGCATGAGGGCATGAGGGCGTGAGGGCATGAGGGCATGAGGGCGTGAGGGCATGAGGGCATGAAGGCATGAGGGCATGAGGGCATGAGGGGATGAGGTCATGAGGGCATGAGGGCATGATGGCGTGAGGGCATGAGGGCATGAGGGCATGAGGGCATGAGGGCATGAAAGGATGAGGGCATGAGGGCATGAGGGCATGAGGGCGTGAGGGCATGAGGGCATGAGGGCATGAGGGCTTGAGGGCTTGAGGGCATGAGTGCATGAGGGCATGAGGGCATGATGGCGTAGGGCATGAGTGCATGAGGGCATGAGCTCATGAGGGCATGGAGGCATTAGGGCATGAGGGCATGAGGGCGTGAGTGCATGAGGGCATGAGGGCATGAGGGCGTGAGGGCATGAGGGCATGAGGGCGTGAGGGCATGAGGGCATGAGGGCATGAGGGCATGATGGCGTGATTGCATGAGGGCACGAGGGCATGAGGGCGTGAGGGCATGAGGGCATGAGGGAATGAGGGCATGAGGGCATGAGGGCATGAGGGCATGAGAGCATGAGGGCATGAGGGGATGAGGGCATGAGGGCATCAGGGTATGAGGGCGTGAGGGCATGAGGGTATGAGGGCGTGAGGGCATGAGGGCATGAGGGCATGAGGGCGTGAGGGCATGAGGGCATGAGGGCATGAGGGCATGAGGGCGTGAGGGCATGAGGGCGTGAGGGCATGAGGGCATGAGGGCATGAGGGCATGAGGGCGTGAGGGCGTGAGGGCATGAGGGCATGAAGGCATGAGGGCATGAGGGCATGAGGGGATGAGGTCATGAGGGCATGAGGGCATGATGGCGTGAAGGCATGAGGGCATGAGGGCATGAGGGCATGAAAGGATGAGGGCATGAGGGCATGAGGGCATGAGGGCGTGAGGGCATGAGGGCATGAGGGCATCAGGGCGTGAGGGCATGAGGGCATGAGGGCATGAGGGCATAAGGGCATGAGGGTGTGAGGGCATGAGGGCATGAGGGCATGAGGCATGAGGGCATGAGGGCATGAGGGCATGAGCGCATAAGGGCATGAGGGCGTGAGGGCACGAGGGCATGAGGGTATGAGGGCATGGGGGCATGAGGGCATGAGGGCATGATGGCGTGAGGGCATGAGAGCATGAGGGCATGAGGGCATGAGGGCATGATGCAGAGACGCACGTGCGAGACGTGGAGGCGACGCTGACAGCAGTAGAGGCGGCCGGCTTGACCTGTCATCCCGGGAAGTGCCGCTTCGGACATGGGAGCGTAGCGTACCTGGGGTTTGAGGTGGCAGAAGGAGAGCTGAGCATCCAGAAGGCTAAGGTGGAGGTGTTGGATCGAGTGGAGAGGCCGAAGGACAGAAGCAGCCTGAGGGCCCTGCTGGGGTTTCTCAACTACTACCGCAAGTTCATCAAGAACTTCAGCAAGCGAGCAGCACCCTTGAACAAGCTGCTGCGGGAGGAGCAGAAGTGGCAATGGGAGGAGCCGCAAGAACAGGCCTTACGGGGGCTGATGGAGGCAGTCAAGGCTGGGGCCGTATTGAAGCTGCCAGACGGACAGCAGCCATTCATCCTCTATACGGACTGGAGCAGCATAGGAATGGGGGCAGTCCTGAGTCAGATGGATAGCGGAGTGGAGAAGGTGGTGGCCTTTGCCAGCCGAACCTGCAGCCCGGCGGAGGCCAACTACTCGTCCTACGAAGGGGAGGGGCTGGCAGCCGTGTGGGCGGTGGGACACTTCCGAGTGTACCTGCAAGGACGGCACTTCACGCTGGTCACTGATCACCAGCCCCTGCTGTGGCTCATGCACAATCAGACTCTGACAGGAAGAAATGCGCGGTGGGCCATGAAACTACAAGAGTATGACTTCACCGTGAAGCACAGGCCAGGCACCACAATGCAGCACGTGGATGGGCTCTCCAGGAACCCTCCCAAAGAGGCAGGAATCCAGAGCCAGAACCAGAGCCAGAGCCTCCAGCAGCGGCTCTGACTGCCATGGTGAGGGAGCGAGGGACGGGAGGAGAGCAGCAGAAAGGACCAGCTGAAGTGTGGCAGGATGAGGAGACTCTGAAGTGGATAAAGGGGGAGATAGCAGAGGACGGGGGAGCAGGAGCAAGAGAAAGGGCACGGGGGCAGCACTACAGGTGGTTTCAAGGGCAGGTGCAGCTGCAGACTAAGGACGGATGAAGCGGGTGCCAGCACCGACAGAGAGGGAAGGCATCATCCGCGAAGTTCACAACAAGCTGGGGCATTACGGCCCGTTACGGACCCTGCAGCTGCTGCAGACTGGGTGGTGGTGGGCAGGGATGCGCAAAGAAGTGAAGGAGTGGGTGGAGAAATGCGAGCTGTGCTGCAGGAACAAGGCGAGCCTGCTAAAAAGCCAGGCAGAGCTGCAGCCCTTGAGCATCGTGGAGTTGGGGCATCGGTGGTCACTGGACATCGCGGGAGAGCTGCCTGTGTCTCGGAGGGGTAGGCGGTACGTGCTGCTCATGATCGAGCATGTGAGCAAATGGGCTGAAGCAAGGCCCTTGGTGGCCAAGACGGCTGAAGCAGTGGCAGAGGCCTTCGAGGACATGGTGCTGACTAGGTTCGGTGCGTGTGGGGAGGTGCTGACCGACCAGGGGACGGAGTTCCAGGGGAGTTCGAGGAGCTGTTAGCAGAGAACGGCATCCAGCACCGCACCACCTCCAGGTACCATCCACAGAGTGACGGCCTGACGGAGAGACTGGTGCAGACGGTGAAAAGGGGCTGTGGGTATATGGGGAGACGAACAAGGGCGACTGGGATAAGAAGCTGGCGTGGGTGATGGCGGGGTACAGGTTTAGCAAGCAGGCGTCACTGAAGGATGTGTCACCGTATTATTTGCTCTTCGGAAAGCACCCTATACTGCCAGTGGATGCACCAAGGCTGATGCTCGATACAGTCAGGACTAACACAGTGGAGAAATGGGTAGCACTGGCGGACGCGAGAGCCAAGTACCTGAAGAAGCTGCTACCAGCGGCCATGGAGAGCTGAAGGTGGCACAGTTGCGGGACATACACCGTTACAAGTAGAGGCAGCTGAACAAAATGGCGGGGAAGCAGACAGCAGTGGAGGAAGGGCAGGCGGTGTACGTGCGGCGGGCTAAGCGAGACGGACTAGATGTGGTAGTGTCTCAGTAGAGATGGGAGGTGAAGGAGGTTCGGGAATCAGGAGTACTGGTGCTGGAGGATGCAACTGGGAAGAGAGTCATGGACCACGTCACCAACGTGGCCCTCGCAGGAAAGCAGCAGCGGGCAGGTGGCTACTCAGGTCCCATGACCAGGGCGAGGATGGCCGCTGCAGGTCATGGGAGGGGCAGGAGAGGTAGACAGGAGTCATGCAACAACGAGTACCAGAGCAAGGGCACCAGCAAAGGTGAGGTCAGTGAGTAAAGAGAACAGCAGCAAAGGAGGGTGAGGAATGACCGGAGAAGGAAGGGGAGAAAGGAATGCATGGCACAAGGGGAGTAAGCAGGAGTGGAGTGGAGTGATAAGAGGAGAAGGAGGGAGGTATCCGACAAGGGCGTGAGGGCATGAGGGTATGAGGGCATGAGGGCATGAGGGCATGAGGGGTTGAGGGCATGAGGGTATGAGGGCGTGAGGGCGTGAGGGCATGAGGGCATGAGGGTGTGAGGGCATGAGGGCATGAGGGCATGAGGGCATGAGGGGATGAGGGCATGAGGGCATGAGGGCATGAGGGCGTGAGGGCATGAGGGCATGAGGGCGTGAGGGCATGAGGGCATGAGGGCGTGAGAGCATGAGGGCATGAGGGCGTGGGGGCATGAGGGCATGAGGGCGTGAGGGCATGAGGCATGAGGACGTGAGGGCATGAGGGCATGAGGGCATGAGGGCGTGAGGGCATGAGGGCATGAGGGCATGAGGGCGTGAGGGCATGAGGGCATGAGTGCATGAGGGAAAAAAGGCATGATGGCGTGAGGGCATGAGTGCATGAGGGCATGAGGGCATGAGGGCATGAGGGCATGAGGGCATGAGGGCATGCGGGCATGAGGGCATGAGGGCGTGAGGGCATGAGGGCATGAGTGCATGAGGGCACGAGGGCATGATGGCGCGAGGGCATGAGAGCATGAGGGCATGAGGGCATGAGGGCATGAGGGCATGATTGCATGAGGGCATGAGGGCATGAGTGCATGAGTGCATGAGTACATGAGGGCAGGAGTACATGAGGGCATAAGGGCATGAGGGCATGAGGGCGTGAGGGCATGAGGGCGTGAGGGCATGAGGCGTGAGGGCATGAGGGCATGAGGGCATGAGGGCATGAGGGCATGAGGGCGTGAGGGCATAAGGGCATGAGGGCATGAGAGCATAAGGGCATGAGGGGATGAGGGCGTGAGGGCATGAGGGCATAAGGGCGTGAGGGCATGAGGGCATGAGGGCGTGAGGGCATGAGGGCATGAGGGCATGAGGGCATGAGGGGATGACGTCATGAGGGCATGAGGGCATGAGGGCGTGAGGGCATGAGGGCGTGAGGGCATGAGGGCATGAGGGCGTGAGGGCATGAGGGTATGAGGGCATAAGGGCATGAGGGCATGAGGGCATGAGGGCATGAGGGCATGAGGGCGTGAGGGCATGAAGGCATGAAGGCATGAGGGCATGAGGGCATGAGGGTGTGAGGGCATGAGGGCATGAGGGCATGAGGGCATGAGGGGATGAGGGCATGAGGGCAGGAGGGCATGAGGGCGTGAGGGCATGAGGGCATGAGGGCATGAGGGCGTGAGGGCATGAGGGCATGATGGCGTGAGAGCATGAGGGCATGAGGGCGTGGGCGCATGAGGGCATGAGGGCGTGAGGGCATGAGGGCATGAGGGCATGAGGGCGTGAGGGCATGAGGGCATGAGGGCATGAGGGCGTGAGGGCATGAGGGCATGAGGGCATGAGGGCGTGAGGGCATGAGGGCATGAGAGCATGAGGGAATAAAGGCATTATGGCGTGAGGGCATGAGGGCATGAGGGCATGAGGGCATGAGGGCATGAGGGGATGAGGCATGAGGGCATCAGGGCATGAGGGCATGAGGGCGTGAGGGCATGAGGGCGTGAGGGCGTGAGAGCATGAGGGCATGAGGGCGTGAGGGCATGAGGGTATGAGGGCATGAGGGCATGAGGGCATGAGGGGATGAGGGCATGAGGGCATGAGGGCATGAGGGCGTGAGGGGCATGAGGGCATGAGGGCGTGAGGGCATGAGGGCATGAGGGCATGAGGGCATGAGGGCATGAGGGTGTGAGGGCATGAGGGCATGAGGGCATGAGGGCATGAGGGGATGAGGGCATGAGGGCATGAGGGCATGAGGGCGTGAGGGCATGAGGGCATGAGGGCATGAGGGCGTGAGGGCATGAGGGCATGAGGGCGTGAGAGCATGAGGGCATGAGGGCGTGGGGGCATGAGGGCATGAGGGCGTGAGGGCATGAGGGCATGAGGGCATGATGGCGTGGGGCAGGAGGGCATGAGGGCATGAGGGCGTGAGGGCATGAGGGCATGAGGGAATAAAGGCATTATGGCGTGAGGGCATGAGTGCATGAGGGCATGAGGGCATGAGGGCATGAAGGCATGAGGGCATGAGGGCATGAGGGCATGCGGGCATGAGGGCATGAGGGCGTGAGGGCATGAGGGCATGAGTGCATGAGGGCATGAGGGCATGGAGTGAGGGCATGAGAGCATGAGGGCATGAGGGCTTGAGGGCATGAGGGCATGAGTGCATGAGGGCATGAGGGAATGAGTGCATGAGTGCATGAGTACATGACGGCAGGAGTACATGAGGGCATGAGGGCATGAGGGCATGAGGGCGTGAGGGCATGAGGGCGTGAGGCCATGAGGGCGTGAGGGCGTGAGGGCATGAGGGCATGAGGGCATGAGGGCATAAGGGCGTGAGGGCATAAGGGCATGAGGGCATGAGGGCATTAGGGGATGAGGGCGGAGGGCATGAGGGCATAGGGCTTGAGGGCATGAGGGCATGAGGGCGTGAGGGCATGAGGCCATGAGGGCATGAGGGCATGAGGGCATGAGGGGATGACGGCATGAGGGCATGAGGGCATGAGGGCGTGAAGGCATGAGGGAATGAGGGCATGAGGGCGTGAGGGCATGAGGGCATGAGGGCATGAGGGCGTGAGGGCATGAGGGCATGAGGGCGTGAGGGCATGAGGGCATGAGGGCATGAGGGCATGAGGGCGTGAGGGCATGAGGGCGTGAGGGCATGAGAGGGATGAGGGCATGAGGGCATGAGGGCGTGAGGGTGTGAGGTCATGAGGGAATGAAGGCATGAGGCATGAGGGCATGAGTGGATGAGGTCATGAGGGCATGAGGGCATGATGGCGTGAGGGCATGAGGGCATGAGGGCATGAGGGCATAAGGGCATGAAAGGATGAGGGCATGAGGGCATGAGGGCATGAGGGCGTGAGGGCATGAGGGCATGAGGGCATCAGGGCGTGAGGGCATGAGGGCATGAGGGCGTGAGGCATGAGGGCATGAGGGAATGAGGGCATGAGGGCATGAGGGCATGAGGGCATGAGGGCGTGAGGGCATGAGGGCATTAGGGTATGAGGGCGTGAGGGCATGAGGGCATGAGGGCATGAGGGCGTGAGGGCATGAGGGCATGAGGGCATGAGGGCGTGAGGGCATGAGGGCGTGAGTGCATGAGGCATTATGGCGTGAGGGCATGAGTGCATGAGGGCATGAGGGCATGAGGGCATGAAGGCATGAGGGCATGAGGGCATGAGGGCATGCGGGCATGAGGGCATGAGGGTGAGGGCATAAGGGCATGAGTGCATTAGGGCATGATGGCATGATGGCGTGAGGGCATGAGAGCATGAGGGCATGAGGGCATGAGGGCATGAGGGCATGAGTGCATGAGGGCATGAGGGAATAAGTGCATGAGTGCATGGGTACATGAGGGCAGGAGTACATGAGGGCATGAGGGCGTGAGGGCATGAGGGCGGAGGGCATGAGGGCGTGAGGGCAT